CTTCAAATACTTAGAAATCATAATGGTGAAAATAAAGACAAGAAAATTAATTCTAAAAAAGTTACAATCTGAAAGTACGAAAGTACGTTCAGAAGTTTTAAAAAAAGACGATGGAATAGACATCATCATCAACAGCTTTTAACAGTCCACAGCTGGACATTGGCCTCTCTTTAGAAAGAAATAGACATCAAATGTATGAAGCACGAACATGATAACTACGAGTATAATTATTGTGGAGTTCAAAAGTGTGAACGAATGTTTTATAAATGTTTTTATCTCTGTCACGCGCATATGTCGCATATACGTCGCGATGGACGAGCTCCCGATGGGACGACTGCAAAGTTGCACGCTAGGTGGCGCTAGCGTCGCAATAGCAATGGTTTTGTAGTTGAGTCACAGGTCTGATGAAATGATTTCGAAAACATTTGACAAATAACATGTGATTGTGATTTTGTCCTATCCCTATTTCACACACAAAGAGCTGCCGCCGTAATGGCGGCTCAGTTTTGTCTTAGCGGGAGTTCTGTCCGAATTTATTTATACATCCATGGGAACTGCAATAAAATAAGTCTTATTAGGGAAGATGTTAGGTACACCAATCCACTCGTGACATTATATTTGGAATTATTATGTACAGCTGATCTGTTATGATTCGCAGCCAGGATGACTTAAAAAATATCTAATAAATAAATCTAACTACTTTTTAACCACTTTTAATACCTTATAGTACCTACTTAATAATACATAATAGCAACTGAACTGTTTTGATTGTAGTCTAAAATAAACAACACAGCTCTACTTCACACGAACTAGTTTACAAAAACACTTCTCCCAAAAGATTCAAGTAAAAAAGGACAGGTGGCGCTATAGTAAAAAAAAACATGATATATTCTACAGTAAGATTTCTTAATTAAAAGTATTTTATTTACCAATTACAGACATTTATAAGACTTTACATATGGGAGGAATAAAATAATACTATGTTGGTATTAAAAAACTCAATTTAAAGGAGTCGAATGTGCGCGCTTTCTTTTCACACACGTAATATATAAAATAAACGTTAGATGGCGGTAGGTTGTCAAACTTCAGACATTATTTGTTATGAAATACACTGTACTTTACTTTCAATATACTGAGTGTATTGCTTTGCATGCGAAATGGCTTTAATAACATGACATGTGTTCTATCTAATATTGAAAACGGCCACTATATCTATTGTGAGAGAGCAGGTCCGATTTTAAATTATATAAATTTTGTTTGTTTTATACACCAACGTAAAAGGAGATCTCAAAAACTGGGCATAAATAAAGACGGGGCTCTTATGCGGCTCAGAGACACCTTGCAACATTAAATAATTGGACTCCTTACGATAACAAGTCCCAAAAGAAACTCCTTACGATAGTAAAACACCCAAAATGCATACGTACCTACACTAAGACCGATTCGGGGCGTAGCATATGTATGTATATAAAAGCTAAATATTAGGTATTCGCTATTTGATTAATTATGCCTTAGAAAACTATAACTTCAATTATTATTTTCTTCTATGAATTTTCTACCGTTTTAGATGGAACATATTCTCTTAAAGGGTCGTGGGGCTTCTGGGACCGGGACCGCGGTCCCGAATTTAGATATAGTGACAATAATTATTTTTGAGTAATATATTAGGACCACTAATAAAAAAAAACAATTAATGTCTTGGGAAGTACGGTCAAGAAAAAAAAAATAAAAGTTAAAAATAATAGTAATAAATACGAGATTGTCGATATGTGGAATGTCGATTCAGTGATCATTGTTCCGATAGTCGTATCTGCTCACGGATTGATAGCCAAGAGCCTCGACCAACACCTTAAGATGCTCACATTGGACGGCTGGATCAAGGGTCTGATGCAGAAGGCAGTCCTCCTTGACACGGCTCTCGGGTGGTCTACAATTTTTTATATTTTTAAATATGAAATATTTTTTTTTCTTTTGTAATATATTTGAAAATGTAATCAATATGTATAAATAATTTAAAAAAAGAGAATAATAATAATATTAAGCTCACACATCTCACACACGGCTGTCTGATCCCAAACTAGGCAGTGCAAGTACATGTACCTAAGTTTTACTTACAAATGAAACTATTTTTATACTAACTACTGCTACCACTAACTATGTTTCTTTTTGTCTGACTACCGCTCGGTTTAGAAAACTCTTGCATTTGTTAACCAAACAGTCAAATGTGAAAAAAAATGTCATCACACCTTCTCAATTTTTGTGAAAGAGCTATCCGAAGATACCGATGTACACTTTACGTGTGCGTTTTTTATTTTTATTTTATTTAACAACTGTTTACTGCTAAATTACTACCTTTTGGTACTAACAGTTTCTAAGCTAAGCCGAGGAAGGACGGACGGAGACACGGACATGGTGAAGCTATAAGGATTTGTAGTCTACGGAACCCTTAAAACGGGCAATAATGCGATTTAGTCCCGAAATCTTCTACATAATCTTGGCAGTTATGTATATTTCATGACATTGATTTAGTTTGGTTGTTGAGCAGTACCAGCTTTCTGCCAAGCACTTACACCTGCTAAATAAATATTTGTTTCGGAGTTTGGGTGTTTTCTATATATAATATGTATGTATTTACAAAAAAAAAAGATGTAAATAAAAAAATATTCTATAATTTTATTATTATTACATTGGATTTCAAGTTTTTTTCCTCAGCTATTTGGCTGGTTCTACGTATTTCCGGGCCTAAACCAAGTAAATACAGCAAGTGGTGTGTGCATTATGTTGGTGTGTTGTCATCTAACTGCATGAATTTTCAAAAAATCTACTTGTATTACTAAATTATATGGCGGCTTTCTGTAATTTTCTATAAACGAATTCTGATAAACCTAACTGTTTTAAGCTATGTAGTAGATGGTTTGGAATGATACCAGCCGTGGAGAGGACTATGGGGACTATGTAGACGTTATGTTGTTCCCATATTATGAGCACTTTTCTTTCAGGTCAGCATACTTGTTATTTATTCGGATATTGGTTTTTGTAAACTATGTGTGTTCGGTACTGCAATATCTATAAGGTACTCGTATGTGATCCTTCTGATCTTGTCTTGTAGGGTTATGTCTGGTCTATTTAAATGTATCGTTTTATCGGTAAGTATAGCGCGGCCGTAGTCAATTTTGTGCGTGTCATGTTCTAGGATAGTTTGTGGTTTATATTTATAACTAGCATGTACCCGCGTCTTCGTTCGGGACTTGAAAAGCGCTGCCTTAGTAGTGTGGGACGTTACCCGAGGACATTTGTAAGGAAAAGACTAGGAGTGGCAGTCAACTGGACGAGGTATCTCCTCTTCCTCCTCCTCAAGTCGATATGCTGCCTTCTCAAAATAAGGTCAATTGCAAAAGGTTTGTAGATGACAGCAAAGCAAAGTTGTTTCGTAATCAGAGGGTTATGTTATTAACATATCAGGCTGGGTATGGATTAAGAAAATGGTTACAGAACACCCTGGGGGAAAATTATGCTGTGACATCTGTGATAAAGCCTGATGCTCCATTGGCAGAAGTCTTAAGACATAGTATGTATAAGGACTTTACTAAACGTGACTGTGTTATAATTTTAGCCTGTTCTAATGATAAAAATCCCTTAAATGTTCAGTCGTTTTTATACTATACTTTATGTCAATTGAGAAATACTAATGTTATAGTGTGCAAAGTCTATAAAAATAAGTATTTAAATGTTAATAAAAATAATGAGCTTATTCAGCTGGTGTGTAGTAATTGTGAGGACGCAACTTTTTGCTCACTTGATTTCAACTTTAATAAGTCATCACACTATGTAAATGAAGTACAAGCTTCTTTATTTTATTAATTATTATATTTCAAATACAGTGTAATTTGTTGATGAATAAATGACTATGTCTATGACTATGACTGCAGTCCATGAGGCCCCCGGTTTGATTCGGAAAAATAGCCTAAGTTACTCCTTACATATACCTGGTACTAAAATATTATCAAAATGGGTCCAGCCGTTTTGAAGGTTGCCAGAGAAACAGACAGACAAAAAATATATCAACTGGTTTTTTAAATTTATTAACTGGTTATTTTTTTTACTATATGCCAGCGTGGCATAGTAGGTCGAAACCTCCTTTCTTAGGAGATGCCTATGTCCATCAGTGGACTATTAAAGGATGTTGATGTGATGTGTGATGTGGTTTTTAAGCATAGGTATCGTGCAAATAACCGTGTGAGCATGAAAAACCTTTCATTTGGACATTACAAAATGACACTTCAATTTTATTTATTTGCATGTAGTATGTACAGATAAGGAGTTTTGGTGTCTTGTACGAGTGAATGTTTGAGCGCTACTTTTTGATAAATAACGTTTGCAACTGGATTATGTCTGTGAGTGTAGTCTGTTTGTGTGAGTGTTGTGCATGCTCCTCGTATGTGCTGTATGGTAAGGCCCGCCGGGTACGGGTGTGCAGAGCTTGCACCGCACACGGACGGTATTTTCCAAACGGCGACAAAAACAGACATCGAAACGAAAGTGCAAAAATTCTCACAATTTATGTGTTATACATTTTTATTATGTCATAATAGTAACATCTACTGATCGGTGCACGAAAATAAACAAACGTTTATAAACTGAACGTAAGTAGTTAAGTTTGTATAATTTGAATCACTTAAGACGCGGGCGCGGGATTCCCAAATATTAAATACCGGGCGATTGTTTAACGTTCGGGAAATAATGGGGCAGTTTAATCCTAGGACACCATTATTGCAAAGATGCTTTGGAGATTACCTGTGTTTGATCTGCAAAGAGCATACGCCTGGGTGCCACCACTGCGATGGAAAGAGCGTGGCTACGAGCACTTAATCCATGGACACGACGCTTCACATGCTGTCAGAATATCCAGCGTGTGTGGAGCAGAGGCATGACCTCGTGACTGATTGCCGCCATGGTAAGAGCGCGGGTAGTGAACCGCTAACTCCTTCTGTTAAAAAAACATGCTCGGGAATGAGAGGGCGAAGAAGAAACCGCCAGGCATGGAAACTCCAGCGGTGGCTCAAGCGGTAGAGGTCGCTGAATGATCAGGCAGGCAGGGAGTGGAAACCGTGATCACCATACACAATTGGGCCGTCTGTAAGCCGTAGATGACTCGGGGTCCATCGGGGTATCAGGGATTTCCTTTCTAGGTTACACGTGGATCCCCCGCTACTACCCGAGACGGTGCGGCAGGGTGCCCTTGGCAGTCCGAAGGATGTTTTGGTATGAAGCAGTATGCCAAAGCATGCCGCGTCACGTCGTGGCATCCCGCAGAAATTAATAGGGCCCGTTGGCATATCTGGCTGTTATAATCCTGTGACCCATGTGGCTCGTCTGAAGCGACAATTCGTCAACGGAACGGATGCCGAACGGAACTAAGGGCGGCTTCATCGACATTGCACGCGGGCGCTCAAGTAACTAGCGGCGGCCCTGATTTGTTATATTTACTTTTTATATATTTATCTGGACATTACAGACCGAAAAACAAGAATACACACAATAACTGTAAAGATTGCCTTATGTACTTTTTGTGTGTCTTTTGGAAAGTTTAACTTGTATCACGTCCAACAGAGGCCCTTCATCAAGAAGCGCAGCCGGTCCCTTCGCTGTTTACCCGATTCGGTTTTCGGTTGTTTTACCCCATAACAATATAATTTAAAACAGCTACCTACCATTAGTGTGAATTCGTTAACGATTTAGGAATCATTTTCAATCGGAATAGATGGAAAGAGTAAATTGGGAAAGGAAAAACGAATAGGTCGAGGAAGTTGTGGTAGGGGTACCGCAAGTCTGGGAAGAGGTAAGACGAAATTTGACATAAAACCTTCATGGTGTGAGATTTTCGTGTGAAACTTTTTCCACATATTTATGAGGATATTCTTTAAAAAAATGTGCAACTTCGACTTGAAGAACAAACCACGTGGAAGACCGCCCACACAGATGAATAACACTGAAAACAAGAAGATCCGAGTCAAACTACCCAGGAATTAGCGGCATGGTTTAACGTTACCCTTCCTACAATATGGAATCTCCACGCTGACAATCATAGCCAAATCGCTCCTTGATGCCCACTTCCTAGATAATTCTTTGGAACTCAATCCAAAAAACGCCAAGTGTTGTCATCCGCGTATCGTAGATTTGCAATCTTATATGCATTTATGGTAACGTCGTCTGTCCTTAAGAATTTTTTGTTCCAGCACAGGTTTTTTTGGTCGAGGCGTTCTGTATAGTGAACGTGAATCACAAACCAGTGGTTCTGATTAGAGCAGAAGTCTGTTTCTGTTTGTAGGAAAGCAGTAGCGGAACAAATAAGTTTTGTTAACACTGGTGGATGTAAGCACGATTTCCTAATATATTGTATATAATAACGTCTAAGTAGATGTAGTTTTTGAGTTTTAAATTCTGGAGTTGAAATGTGCTTAGACGAAATAACTCTTCAAGACAATCTACAAAGGTGATTTTCAATTCAGTGGGAAAACTTTTTAGGGAATACTACTGACTACCTCGACTGACTCTACCCTACCCTGACCCTAAACGCGACTTTACTGGTAGACATATCAGTAAAGTCGCAGAAAGGCCTTAAATTGCTTTATCGATTTTATCGATCGATAAACTTATCTGTACGCGGCACAACATGCATCCGGCGACTCAGTTAAATAAGCTCGGTAGCTTCTGGACTGTGTACATGTACCTACGTATGTGCTCACGGATGTTTTCGGTGGTAGAGCTCCGTAGGAGCTAGCTTGGGAGGAGGTCCGGCTCCGGCCGGGGTCAGGCGTGTCGCGAGACGTCTTCAATTGCGTAAGCGGTGCGGGAGTGGTGTGGTGCGGGGCGGGGAGAGCGCTGGCGGGCGGGCCGGCGCGCGCACTCCGCGGACTCGCGCGCTACCGACCGCCGCGCGCACGCGCACTCCACCAACCGCTAGTACCGTGCCACTTGGACGTGCCAGGCTCCGCACCACCAGCGCTTCGGGATGCACCGCGCACCCCGCCCGCTGTGCCCCACACGACCCCATACTAACTACGACTATGGCCGCAACTAAGAACGAGTACCACTTCGGTGAGTGTCCACCTTTCTCTTTTGCACTCTCTCACCTCATAACGAATGTTCACTCCAGGTCGCAGACTACAGTCTCCGCCCACTCTCTGTACTTCTACATCACTGGTAAGGTAGAAAGTGCCCAGTTTATATATATGACTTGACATCTGTACGTAACTATGTTATGTAAAAACGTCAACGTTACTTCTCTGGACCTGCCACCATAAGTTGTGGATGAATAAACGATGGAATTATTCAAGTAAGTACTTATATATAGCTGCACTTTTCAGACAATTCATAAACTCAGGCATTGACATTATCGTAGAAAGTAGGCGCTCAAAGTTATTAACGTAGGTGTAAGTCGGTGCAACATGCAATAAATGTCAGCACTCGCAACAGATTTGCAGTCGCACAAGGAACGTGCAACCTATGTAAACAATTAGATCAAAAACTTCAACATCGCGGTCAGACATCAGACCCGATAACTCTCTCCTCAACTCCCTGATCTTCAAAGAATCATCTCATTACGAACTACAATCAGTACCAATTACGTGAGCGGTCCGTCCTTCCCCTACACGTCACGGAGACAACATCTCCAGTAATACATGATAGTGTTATCTAATCGTGTCCTTGATAACTATGACGTACTCACCCGACGGGATCCTCGACGGGGTTACTGTTATCTCACGCACGAGCGTAGGATAACTAACCCGGTCGTGTATCCCGCGGCACCATCCAACGTTCTTGTGTCTATCCACTCTGCTATCTGGACTAGTAGCAGTACTTGCCTCAGAGCTTTACCTATTTGTTTTTACAAAAGCAGAATCATTTAGCATCAGGCTAGAGTAGACGTATGTTTACCTACTTGGCACTTCACTTATAAATAATACATTGTATCTCACTTCTAAATGGTTATGGTTGAAAAACAAAAAAATTGTTAATAATTAATAACAATATGCCGCTCGCCTAGTAAAAATATCTTGCGCGACGGTAGAGCCCCCCAAGACGAGTCCAGCGAAGCGCAAGGGTACTACCTACCTTTTCTCGAAGTGCTTCGTATTTTGAACTCTCATAATTTGGGTTTGGATTAATAAATTTTTGTATAAACACAGTTTCAATTGCATAGCTCTTATACTTGTAATTTTATTGATATCTCAAAAACGCGATTTAATCACTGACTCACTGATGATCATCAAAATTCTTGCTTTCGCCAACGTTCAGTGGGCGTATGGTAAAAAAAATATTTCGTTATTGTCACATGTAAGGTAAAAAAAAATATTTACTGTTCATTACTTTTCTGTTGTGTATAGAAAGTTCTTGTAGTAACGAAACGGCCAAGCTACAAATTTTGACCCAGGTGTAGAGTTTGTGAAGTTAGGGCGTGTAGAGTTAAAAGTTTGACTCTACATGTGATCTGATAACTTTTTGTCAGTGCGAGCCATATCGTCTCGTTTTGGCAACCGTTTGGCGTTCGTTACCCGGAACGTAAACTACCTTTGACATTAATACGAGTATTTATGTCAAAGGTAGTTTACGTTGTATTGTATTTGTATTTATACGATTCGAGTATTTTGAGTTATTTGATATTGTGGGAACGCTCACACTGATCTTTTCTCTAAAATACACTCTAGATTAGTGGTGAAGTCCACAGTTTAAATTGGAAGTGGTTGGGTCCAAAACCGCTGGATGCATCTCGGACAACCAATATGTATGAAACTTATTCTTTGCTAGCCAAGTGCTACCAATTTGGCTGATATTCGGATATCCTCATAAATAGGTATAAAACTCCAAATTTTTAATTTAGGGCCTGCAATTAAAAAATGTTAGCCCAGTTTGCGTTTATCGCACCTGTGGAAGTCGGCGCTGCAGAGTCCGGTGTTGGCTTAATTTTAAGAACATATCGTGTATGTACACAGTATGTCTGCAGGTATTTGAAATAGCGAGTATTTTGTCCATTACACCCCGTGTCAATAAAAGCAGTGTTCGTCTAGGGTTAATGATTAGTACAATATGTCATTAGAGATAAAAAATTGTACCTCTTTACATTTATTTTTAAGTTCTAAAAACGCATGCATTGATTTAATTTTGAAGGATACACTTTTACAAATTAGTGACACCCGAATCATCTTGTAATTTTAGCAGTGATGATTATCTGGACTCCGAAACTGTTTTCTTTTCTTTGTGTGAGACACACCCTATCTCTTTTTATTGAGGCCACCGGGCTTCTTCGCACCGTCTCACAACTCTCTTCATGGTGAAGGTTCTTTATCTCCCATCGAGCCTCATATTCGATCGTACTCAAAAATATTTTTAAGAACCGTTGTTCCGCTCATAAACTGAGTGTGTTGGTGTTAATGATTCTTTAGGTGCAGTGAATTATTAGGTAAATTCGTATGTCGTAAGCTGATCGCAGGCCTAAGGGCTTATCAATTGGGTTTAGGATGTTTCCCTAGGAGATGTCCGAAGACTGAGGGCCAGAGCGCGTTACTGCAACGGGGTAACTGTCAGGTTGCTGTTTTCGACATTGTTTATTTTTCCGCATTCACTTTGTCCCATCCTAATAACTGTATTTATGGTTGTGGGTATGTGGCTATGTTTAGGTTCAGCATACTTAATTGTATTTTAGCTCTTATCAAGAAATCGCAGCTCTTTGTTTCGATCTAGCGTAGCTTAGTGACGTAGGAAGCGCATGCGCCGTAGTGCGGCGGCGGAGGGCCGGGGTCGCCGCGCCGCCGCCGCCTGCAATTGCGACCTTTCGACTCCCACGACTCCTTATCGCTGCACATTCGTGCAAACCATTTTTATACGGTGCGAGGCCGTCAAGGTGGAAGGTGTTTCGCTGCATCTGTGGCGGTGGCGTGCACCGGGGATGCTCCTGCGCCGGCAGCAGACACGGCGGAGTCGCAGCGTATTATCGGCGGCTTGCGATTAGATAAAGCAGCTAGGCGGCGTGGGGCGCTTCGCAGTAGGCTCGCATGCGCGCTGCTCGGCGGCGGCCGCGTCTTCCTTGTTATTGTTAGCGAGTGTTGACCGCGCCGCGTCTCTCCGGCCCGCCGCCACGCGCCACACGCGCCGCCACAAGTCGTGCCACACTCCCTTTCGCCTTATACTTACACGGCCGTTGGATTAGCTCGCGTTGATTCGGTAGGCACGTAAGTAAACTCGAACGAGACCAACGCGGAACTGAACCTATTGTAGGCGTACAGCATTGTGTTAGCGTGCGTGGACCGTCTTGGAACGTTTACCCGCCACGTGAATAATTGTGTTAGCGTTGCTTTGGTAGAAATACGAACAGTTGTGAGTGTGGCGAAATAATGAAGTTATTTAGCGAGCGACACACAGTAAGTAACGTTTAAGTGGAGCGCGGGTGCGGCGGGTGCGCGGGGCGGGCAGGACTCGTGGGAGTACTTCCGGTGAGGAGTGATAACGGCGCGCTCCTCAAGCGTGTCGCCAACACTTGCAGGACGCCAGGCCGGCGCGGCGGTGCGACACCTCCGCCACACATCAGCGGTGCCACGGTATTGATCGATGCCAATACAACAGTATTCTAGTCAATACCGTCAGGCGAAATACTTATATGACACGAAGTGGTCTCTGCAGTAAGCAGGAACAACACCTGTCTGTGTATGTTTCTATCTTTGTCGTGCACAATTTCTATACAAACAAGACGTCCTCATATTACAATAAAAATCTAAAAATATTACTCTGGTGTTAGAACAACACTTATAGGTATGAGTGTGCGATCAGTACTGAGCCGACAATAATTAAACTACGCTCACTACCGTTACTTATGTACTCGTGTATAGTTATTTCATTATTACATCCGATATTTCATTCTATTTGCTTCTCCACTGCGACGATTGGTTACCATCGTATGTCGTCAGTAGCTTCTCTTACTGAATTAATAAAGTCAGTCTGAGTCACTTCTCACTACCACTGATAGTGCCTGAGTAAGATATTACTAGTTTCAAAGGTTTACCGAGATTTTTTTCGGTTCCTTAATTACTGACATAAGTTTCTAGATAAATTATTTTTGGAATCACCAAATAAAGTAACTGGATAACTAGACTGTAACAATTATAGATATCGATTTATTTTAAAATATTTATTTAAAAATTTCAACCTGAAATGTATTTCGCTTGTGACCAACGTCATAAAACAACAAACAGTTATAAAACGTCTTTGTAAAGCGATCACGTGTTTACGTGAGGATAGTTAAAAATAGAAGTTCTACCAAGTAGGTAGAAAGTGCTGTGTTTTAGAAAAATAAAAAGATATTGAACACTTCGGTAAATGACTGGTGCGATTTTTGACTAGTAATTTTTTTTAAAGAAGTCCCGCTCTAGGGATATATCCTGTGTCGCGGGGGACTTCACAAACATACATGAACCGGACACAAAGAACACCCAGACTCAGGACAACAATTTGTAGATCACACAAAGTGTTGTCCCATGTGGGGATCGGACCCGCAACACTCGACGCAGTAGGAAGCGGCAAGTGGACCGCTAAAACCACTATGCATTCCGTGCAGTAATTGAGTGATCGTTATTATGGGCGGTTTACTGATAACGGGTGGTTGGGATAATGTTATGAATTACGTTATGAATAACGTTATTAAAATGCATTTGATTATAGGACAAGGGTTACTGGTAACAAAGATCTGTATATTATTTTTTTACAAAATTAATTTGTAATAATAATAATAACTTAACACATTTCACTCACAGTCGTCTGATCCCAAAGCCTGTACAATGGTAACCAGATTGCTGATAAACACACTTATAAAATTATAACTAAATACATACCAACTAATTACCTATATTTACTATAGATCATTTACACCAAACCATAGGACAAAATACTTTATAATCTTGTTCGTATTCGTGTGGTGACGGATTAAGAATACGGAGTGTGTAAAAACCGAGTAATGGAGCAAAATACGCAGGACAACAGCACTGCAAAGAGAAGGAAAACTTGATATAAACCCTAGAACAACCCATCTGGGAAGCGTGGTATAGTAGACCAATACCTCCTTTCTAAGGAGATTTTGGCCTATGTTCAGCAGTGGACTATTAAAGGCTATTGATGATGATGTGAATCGTGTTCACTACACAAATATCTGGCGTGGTTGGAAATAGAACCCATGCTATCTAACTCCGCAGCCAGCACCACTGACCACTAGACGAACAGTATTATCGTTGTAAAAACGTCAACAGGTTGTTAAAAGACTGTCTGCGGCGAGGCGTGCCCAGTACCTACCTACACAACCGCCGCCCACATCACTGCAACTAAAAGTCAGAAATGCGTTGTGTTGCCACGGTCGAGCCTGCCCATTCGGGACGCAGCGTATCTCTCCCGCGTTATATACTCGTAGGTTTACAACGAGACAAGGGACAAAATCACAGCAAACTGTGAATGAACTGTGATTTATCATTCGATTTTTTCGTTCGTAGGTTAGGGTTACTACTCACTCACGCGTTTTCAGACGATGCATAAAGATCCTATTTCGCTTATTTAACAGTAAACCTAGGAATTATTTTATTATATATAGCAACATAATTAATTTAAAAAAAACTAGATTTACTGTTAAATAGCGTCTGAAAAGAGCTTACTGGCAACCACGCGTGAGTAAGTATTAAGTAGCGTTTTCATTCGATTTTTTTCAAAAAAATTCATTTCATATAAAAAAAATCGAATGATAAATTACAGTTCACTGTGATTTTGTCCCATATCTATTCACAACTATCTCCAATACAAGAAAATTACATCACAAATAATTGTTGGGAGTGGTTAGTGGCCCTGACTGCTAAGCCGGAGGTCGTGGGGTCGATTTCCACCCTAGACAAATATTGTGTGTTCTGAGTCTGGGGGTAATTTATCTATAATATGTATTTAAAAATATATAAGTGTGTGTATCAGCAGTCTGGTTACCAGGGTAGGTACAGGCTCTGCCAATTTTGGGATCAGACGGCCGTGTGTGAGATGTGTGAGATATATTATTACTGTTTATTATTAATAACGTAATAATTACGTCAAGTTCTGAGCAATGTTTAAAATTGGCTCTAGCCGTGCGCAACGCGCTAATGTTACATTGCTGGCATTATTGACATTGTTGGAATGGTTGATAACTCCTCCAAATATGTCATAGGCTTTTTCAGGTTCTAACCTGCTTCAACTACAACTTTTTGATCGTTCCTTTTTTTTGGAATAGAGTCATTATTTTAATTCTCTTTATTATTCTCATTTGGGTAGTTATCAATGTTAGGCACGAGTGAGAAATTAATAATCGACGTCTATTAAAAAGTTATCGATTGGACTACAAGATGAACAAGATTAATTTAATTTCACTTTTTTGAATTTTTCTTGCAAAAAAAATTATACCATCAGTTTCATAACAGACGTAGATTAGGAATGGATCACACATATTTCATTGATAATGACAATAATAATCGATTCACGTATTACATATCACGCACAGTAAACCAAAACTCCATTCTAAGGAGAAGTCCATGCCCAGCACTGGACTACTATAGGCTGTTAATGAATTCAAGAAACGACACACATGGGCACTCGATCCTAAATTAGACAGCGTTTACAGTAACCAGACAGCTGATGAACATATTTTTTTATTATTATAAACACACCAATTAGAGATAAATTACACCCAGATAGAACAAGTGATCTTGCTCGTCATACAATTATTTATAGAGGATGAACACCGCATTGACGACCTCTGGCGGCCGCTCTACTGCTGTTTTCATTCAATCCACCTATCAAGATTTAGACAACCGCTTACTGGATAAGATGAACATAGCAGAAAAGCCAGGTACCACACGGTATCAACATCAGTTGGCTAACTTCCACCGGTGACTTATGACAGATGTAGGATGTACTTATCTATTACGTATTTGCCATCATCTATTATCTTGATTGGGATGATAGAGAAAGTAAAGAATTATTTAAAATAAAAGGAAATTTGATATTCTAATGCTTCCTTTCGAGGTTTACTCTCTTTTAAGAGATGGCGCCTACCTACCTACCTACGTGTGATGACGTAAACTGTAAAACATTAAGAAAAATAAAATGTATAACGATCGGTATGAAGTGATCATTGCGATGTTATCAGCGGGTTGTGTCTGTCAATGTAAATATGGACAGAGAGGGTCGCGGCGCGGCGCGGCGCGGGGAGGGGCGGGCGCGATAAGCGGCGCCCCCGGTGACCCCAGAGCTCCCGCTCGCCGGCGAGTGGTGCACCCACTACTGGTTACACAAGCCTGGCTGGTGCCGAGAGGCTGATTCTGCGTACCGCCGGACGTGCCGCTGCGCCACCACTCGTTGCCACATCGCAGTACTACGTGACGACGAGCGGATTGTAGCACGATGTACCTACGAGTTACGACACTCCGCTGCCACATTATTACCTACCTACTCATCAATGGAAATATAACATATTGAAAGCCTCGCATTTGCCACGTTTTACTGCTCCCATATGACATCAATGTCACATAAGTGGACATGAGCTACTGCATCCGACTTAGGAACTTACGTGATACTCAATAAGTACATATATGAATATAGTACAGATATACGGAACGGTACCGTGAAACTCACAACAAGGTATTGTGCCTTCGAAGTCGCTCTGTGTTCAAAGCGCTCTATGAGCAATGGTCAATGGCTTTTACTTAAAATGCCATGAGTGGTCTCATTGCGTAGAAGCTCCGTCGGCGACACATAATCACAATCAAGTATAATATGTATGTATAGCCATGCATTTGAACAAGTTGTCTTTAAAATTAGATGACAACAAAATTAAACTTCCAAATAGAACCCATCAGTATCACAAATGAAAGAACAAGCCACATTGAATTGTAAAGTTAAGTTAAACAATTATTTAGCAGTTGACTACTATTTGGGAACTACAAACTATTATGATTGAAATTAAATAATTCTTAGTGAACTTGCTTAGCTTTTCTTGACCATTGTGTGACATGATTTATGATCTTGAATATAACTTTGAGATACACACTTATCTGCGGGGAAATACAACAAATCAACATCATACTTCATTGTTATAAAATACAAATATACGTAGAAACCCAATTATAAAAAAAAGGAAAACAAGCTTTTCGAATCATTGTAGGCATAAACTTTATATGAGAGATAAGATCCGTAAATTCACATCCAGTCGATCGTCATGGTGAGCTCAGAAGCTCTGAGCATTAGTGAAGGTTTCAGTGCGGGCCAATCACAACGCCGAACGCGCTCGCTGTCAAGAGCTAGTTGATGTGAAATAAACTTGCACTAGGAACATTGTTTTTATTTTGCTTGTAAAATCACGACCCGTGGGCAGATCCCTAATATATGAATGTTTACGTTTCGCTAAGTATAATTTTAGTCGCACTTACGTAATGATTGGCAAGCCATTAAGAACATATTGTCAGAAAAGGTAGATAAGAAGGGAAGTGAATGATATGAAAGGGATATTGGTTATATGGATGGTTTGATCAGCAGTCTGGTTACCATAGTACAGGCTCTGCCTAGTTTGGGATCAGACGGCCGTGTGTGAGATGTGTGAGATATTAAAGCTCGAATCGGCCATTACTGGAAAATCCCTCTAACCGCCACTAAGTTACGGACACAGAGGTGCTATTTCTTAGAGTAATTAAAAGCTTAATTATGACACTTTCTAAAATTGGTATTACTTGAACATAAAAAACTGGCAGATTTCTCTTTATAATTTTCATAACTCTGAAACTGTTATGTATTCAGTGCCTCCTTCTCTACGGTACACTTAAGTTGGTGCGATGGACTGAATTCGAATTCACTTCTTGCAGGAAGAATTCCCTGAAAAGCTTAAGGCTGGTCCAGTTGACTCGAAATCGTTTTGAATCACTGGTACTGGTCTAGTCATTGAAATTGACATCACTGCGGTGTTAGCACACTAGCGAGAGACTTCTCCCGGGGTCTTTTTGGTATTGGTATTGGTTGTTGGCTCCGATTTCCGCAGTGTCTTAGACTCAAGAGTGGTCCTTTATGCGTCTAGGAGAGGTTCCTTCCAGAAGCGCAGAAGCCTCCTGGGACGTTCACAGGGGTCTAGGAGGGATTTTGTACCAGGTATGGTACTTGCCTGTTGTGTGGCCACTCCCTCGCATTCCAGGATTACGTGGACGGCCGTTTCTTCTGCTTTCAGGCATCCTCTACAAAGAGGGTAGTCCGTCGCATTGATGATGAATAGTTGTCTTTTCAGGGCTAGGTTTCCCAGGCAGGAGTTGAGAGAGAGGTTGGGACGGCGGGCGAGGTTACCGAGCCCATTCCTGCCCGTTTTTCTGCGGCGTTGTTCCCGTGTGAAATACTGTGCCCTTTAATCCATTGGAGGAGTAACCCATTTGCTGTGGCAAGCTGCTTCAATACTTGATGGCATTCGAAGACAATACCAGAGGTCATTGTGTTGCCCTCCAGTGCCTTTAGGACGGCCATGCTGTCTGACAGTATTCGGATGTTATAGTCCTTAATACCCTTTCACATGACGGCGTAAGTTATTGATACACATTCGCATAAGAATATGGAACTGTGTATAAATAGGAATAAAAAACATTCTATCCCACACCACATTTTTACTTAGTCAATAACAAAACCTACATTTCTCACACAGATAAAAAAACAGTGGCGCTCCGGGAGTGCTGACAGAAGTGAAAACTTCATTTTTTTTTGTTACAGCAGGATTTTTTTTTTTTCGATTCGAAAAGTTCCGACATGAATATACTCGTATATCCATCGAAATGATATTTGGAGCAAAACTAGGTAGTGCTATAGTGTTATAAAATATAGATTAAATTGTCGACAAAAGTTGATGATCAGAGTCGTCCCAAAATAATTTTAAGCTATGGAAAAGATGGTTTGGAATGATACCAGTCGTGGACCACCAGAGGACAATTGGGATGTAGACGTTATGTTGTTTCCATATTTATTATTATTATTTTCATTATATATACAGTTATATTATCAATGTATTTCAACCCAAACTCAACTTTTTTGTAAAGGGGCCAATATATGTAGATACTTATATACAGAGGTGTTGGTAACGGTAATAGTGTTGCGAGTTCAATGGTTTTTTCCTATCTCAAGGAATACATTCTTTTGAATTGTTGTTCAAAAATGTCTAACGCGCCTAAATAAGTTTTCACTTCAAAAAACAAGAATTCGGTAGGTATTAGGTATTAATAATCGTAGTCGATATTTGTCGGTATGTATATTCGCGAACAACACAGTTTATTTCAATTTGAAAGAGTTAAAAAGTACATTAAGTCCAAGCAATGCTAAGAAAATGTTCCGTTGAGAATCATTACAAATGGTATTTATAACTATCGTCAAGTTTAGGAAAGTGTAATATGTAGTAGTGTGTGCGACATCAGGCGAGTTGCATGTTGGTGTAACTGTAGGTACATAGGTCGAGCTACACACACATCCACGCATCATCACACGAACAGCGGCGCAGGCGCAGGCCACTAACGATGCTGTTTACGGCACTAACGAGCACACACTTATTAGCCTCACTGTGATCGCCTTATCTCTCTGCACCCCAAATAATAAAACTTTCCAACAGTTTGCCACTGCCCCCCCACCCCGCGCAACGCCGCACCGACCCCTGCCCCCCCCCCCCCCCAGTCCCCCCCTGTCGCACAGCTCGCATACTGCACAATGCACACGTACCCACAGCGAGTGCATACATACAACATTTCCGACACGGTATAATACGTGTGTAATGAATAATAGTACCGACCGCCAGTATTTTTTCCATTAACTGAACCGATGTAGGTTATAGCTGTTATGGGCGAATAGGTTGTTAGCTCGCGTGTTCAACGTATTGAGCCTTATATTCGCCGATAGCGGCTAGGACTGTGCTAGACGCCTTTATCTTGGAATTCATTCATACATATCATATCAGTTAATCTTTCTTACGGTGCTGATAATCACCCCCACTGCTAAATTAATGACTTCACACATATCACACATGGCCGTGTAATTCGGAACTAGGCAGAGCCTGCGCTATGGTAAACAGACTGCTAATAAACATACATATATATTTATAAATACAAACATATCTTTACATAGTACGAGGACTGCTATTTATGTATCCGGAATAACAAAGTGGAACAAACATATATTATACTCGTAGCATTTATTATAGTTTTATTGCTTTTGAAAATATTCGCCTTGGTGATCGATGCACTTTTGCATGCGTTGGAACCAATTTTCGTGGCACTTTTTTTTTATTCTGATTGTGGTATTTCCATTTCGAACATCTTCACCCCTCAAAAAACCAGGTAATTTATTCTTCACTGTCGGGAATGGCGGCGGATGACCCGTTAATTCAATCTTTTGTTCTTCAAAATGCTGAGTTGTTTCGGCTGATGTGTGGCAGCTAGCATTGAAATGACGATGAACCGAATGAACCGAAAGACTTCTGGCAAACAAATGGACTTTTACCATTCAGAATTAACTGTTTTACGATCCTCTAGTGGCAGTGTAGCCACATGTCCATTTATACCAAAAAAACCAGCGACCATTTGCTTCAAAATGCTTTTTGTTGGATTCGGCTCACCTTGGCACACCCAAAACGTTGATTGTTGTTTAGTTTCAGGATCATACGCATATATCCAAGATGCATCATCTGTTATAGATATTAGATGTTTTAGACAGCTTTTGACGCACCCGAATTGTACTTTTGTAACATTTTTTTACACTAATCGACACAATTCTCAAGCTGAACTATTTTTTTTTACAGCTAAATGTTTTTGTAATATTTTAAATAACATACTTGTCATACTTATTCCCAGAGACGCCTCTATCTCGCGATATGTAATATGACGATCTTGAATTATTAGTTCCCGCACATCATCAATATTTTGAGGTACAGCAAAAGATTTATGTGATCACAGACCGCCCTCAATTAAACTCACTAAACCAGTGATACATAGTTGTTTTTAATGGTGCTTCACCCTAAAAGTCAAAGTGAGTTGATCGATTCACCGTTTTTGAGTTAGCCCTCGCTGAAAATCGTAATACTCGTAGCTCGAAAATTTTCACGTGTTAAATCCATAGTGATAAAGACACGCATTATCAAAATGACGCCACAACGGATAAACAAATGACAGCTACATGAAACAAAATGTTTTCTTCTTTTTATAACTTTCCTTTTATTATACTTTTTTATATGTTAAAGAGATCTACAAAATAAATTCGCGATGATATATGTCTATCATCTAATCTAATTCTACTAACATAAATTCACAGTGTCAAGAGACTGTTCAGATAGTGATATATGTCATCAATGGTGATATCAACAACATTGCCATATCACGAAAATTAAATATATCATTTACTTACAAATTTAAACTGTACCGTTTACCAAACT